TACTTGCATGATTCTACCTGGTGGCATCACAATGGCGAATGTCAGGGTGAGGATCGTGCCCCCTGGTGCTTTCAGAGGAGTTGACACCAAAATGTCCTAAGGTCCATTGGGATGGTGGCAGGGGCACTGGGTAGCTATGGGCTGGCGCCTCTAGACCTGATAGTGATACCACCAGGTAGGATCATGCAAATAAGGTGGAAAGAGGAAACTTACTACCACCAAGGAAAAAGAGTCTGGTGTTGAGCATAGTCATGAAAGGTGGGGCTGGGAGGGGTGAGAGCATGTATGTAGCACAATGCACGGGATGCGGTAGGTGGGGCCAGGCCATTAGGCCCACAGAGAGGTGACAACTTGAGTTGTCATACCAACAGAGTTGATACCAACTCTGGCAATGTAACTGGTTCCAGTTTCGTACGGGAGCTGTGCACATTATTTGTATTTCTAGAAAGCTGTCCAACCCCCTGGTGGCCACAAGTACCTTATTTGCATAGTCCCTGGTGACACTGTCAGGGAAGCATTGGACTGCTGACCTCAGGTTGGCAGCTCGAACCCCCAGCTACTTCTGGGAGAAGGATGAGGCTATCTTCTCCTGTCAAGATTTATAGCCTCTGAGACACAATGTAGGATAGCTATGAGTCAGAATAATCCATATGCCATTGGGCTATGGGGGAACAGACCATTGGGCTATGAGGCAGTCTCAGACCATGTAGGACTAATGAGGGACTGACCCTTAACTGTGTGTGACAATCAGAATGTAGATTAGATACCTGGGCAAAGGAGTAACCTTTCCAACTTATAGGACCCCACAGGACAGAGTAAGTTGCTCCTTAGGAGTTTTGAGACTGTAAATCTTTATGGAAACAGACAGCCTCACCTTTCTCCTACAGAGTGGATGGTGGTTTTGAACCACTGACCTTGTAGTTAGCAGGCCAAGGCTTACCCCATTGCACCACAAGGACACAGGCTCTCCTTGATCCCAGTTTTTCCCTATGTTTTCTGTTTCCATTCATTCTTCTTTCCTAACCTTTGTGAACGTCGTCCTTAGGTAAATGCCACCCTTTTGATCTCAAATGGCTGATTATTCTTTTGTGTGTGTACCTCCCTAGGGTCATCATTCCCCACATAGACCTCTCTACTGTGGGCTGAAAATTGAGCCAGTAGGATGTATTCATTTCCAGAAGTGAAAGGTGACAAAGGCCACGGACTTGGGCATTCTACCCATATCTATAAGACTTATAAACCTGGTCTTTTTTTTTTTTAGTGCCCCCCACCCAATTGTCCTCCCACTCCCTTTCACACCAACTAATGTGGTCCTTTTCAGAGCGGTTGGTAGTTTACCACTATCTAGTTTACCAGGCACTATCTAGTTATTCTGATCTCAGGAGTGTGAGGACTGATATTTGTATGATTCATCAGTCCAGTTGACTTGTTTCCACGCCTCTTTGATTTTCTTCATTCTTCTTTGCTCTGTAGTAAGATCAGTAGTTGCACCTTAGATTCACAAGTTTGTAAAAGTCCGGCTGTTACTAGGGATGTAGAGCATTGCTTCTGCAGACTATGAGATACTAATTGATCATGATGACCCTTAAGAATCTTTGAATTTCAAAGAATAGAAATGTTCAAAGCAAATATGAAAAATCTTGAACAACTCTCAGATCTAGGTGGTAGACAGACGAATGTTTGATATATTATTCTTCATACTTTTCGCTATTGAAAACATTTTTTTCTTCCTTGAAAACTATTTTTGTAGTATCTGGGGTCTTAAAGGCTTGAAGATGAACAAATGTACAAATGTGCTTGACACAATGGATGGATATATAGATTGTGGTAAGAGTTGTACGAGCCCCAATAAAATTATTTTTTAAAAAACTACTTTTGTTTCCTGCTAAAAATCTGGAGAAAATAGAAAATGGCAAAGCCAACAGCACCAGAAGAATTGAAAGGTGCCCAGCTGCCCCCCACTGCTCTGATCCGGATCACAGTAGAAAGCCCTAGACAGGGAGAGGGGCGAAAGATGGGGGTTGGGGTAGAACAAAACTCAAAGTAATTAAAAAGACCAGACTTACTCTGGTTTCATAGAGACTCTGGAACCCCTGAGATTGTAACCCTTAGATACTCTTCAAGCCTGGAGCTGAACTCATCCCCAGAGATCAACTTTCAGCCAGAAAATAGACAGGCCTAGATAGTGAACAATCACACCAGAAAGGAGTGTGTGTGGATTTTTTTTTCAAAGCTATGTATTTAAATTTTATTACAAAACAACCTTATCACCTTCAAAGTACTCACCATTACACTTAATACATTTGTCAAATCTGAGATTCCATTCTGGAAAACATTTTCAAACTCATCTGTTTGGATGTCTGACAGCACCTCCCTCGTTTTTTCTTCGCCTCTTCTAAGGCGTCAAATTGTTGTCTTTCATGTCCCTCTTCATTCACTGAAACAAAAAGAAGTCACACACCATTTAGCTGAGAAGCAACAAAGCCCACATGAAGAAGCACACCACCAGCCTGTGTGATCATGAGGTGTTGATGGGATCAGGTTTTAGGCATCAAAGACCCAAAACAAAAAGTCATATCTATGTGAGTGCGGGAGAGGGCAGAGTGGAGACCCAAACCCATCTGTAGACAATTGGACATCCTCTTAATGAAGGGTCACAAGAAAGAGCTGAACCACTCTAGGTGCAGTATAGCACCAATGAAACACACAACTTTCCTCTAGTTTTTTAATCCCCCCCCCACCCCAACCACCACCACTATCTGGAACCATGAAGAAAACTATCTAGGACTGAATGTTAAAGGGACCTGTGGTCAGGCTGAAATGTTTGCTAGGTGACCACCTGGATCCACTTGTTGAGTGGAAGTGGGAAAATGCAGTAATAAAGAGACGAGTTGAGTCTGGCCAATGACACCCATGAACCTGGTTTACAGGAACTAGAGGAGAAGGACTAGAGTGGGTTGGCTGGGCTGATGCTTATAGAGTAGTGTGACCTCGATAGCATGACCTAGCCCAAGGGGGCTGGGGTTGTTGAGAATTTGTGATGGGGCCATGGTCTAACATCAAGGCAACCAATGGGCACCCTGGTGAGGCTAAGTGTGGCAGCTCACATTGAATTGACCAGAACTCAACCAGATGAAGAGATTTATGAGTCTGTGAACTGGTGCATATTGCTGCTGACTTTATGGATGGGCTGTCCTGATTTGACTTATTTATGGATAACTGGAATGAAAATTCTTCACATCAAAGAATATGATTATCTCCTTACAGCATTGGGTTGATGTAAGTGGGCAGTATAGAAATTGGATACCCAAATTTGGGTGGATAAAGGCATGAAGTGTCTGGCTTACAAATTTTCATAGGTGGGGAAATATGTTCATCAGCATATGGTGCAGGTGTTTGCATAAATATAGAATATTTTCGGTTTGTTCACTTATAGAATGTTATGCTTAAATGAGGGTGGCACATTTTAAAAATTGTATGCATTTTAGTTTTAACCTTTTAGGTACAGATATGATTTTATTATTGTTTGAAAATTATGTATGACTAGAGAGTTGTGTGAAAGTGTCAAGTTGACAAGGGATGGTCTGTAGTAGTTACATAATTTGCTGCCAACAGTTTAGCCTGCCAACCAGCTTGCAGCTTGATAACCTCTTTGGAGGTACAACAGAGGAAAATAGCTCTCCGGAGGCAGGGCACACACACTCTCTGCTAAACATTCCTGCTTACAAGCCACACGGAACTATATTGATGGAGCCAGAGCCCTGGAGCTGGAGGAGCCACGTGGAGACCCACATCAACGCCGAGATCCTTCCACAGCCACTGGATCTACAGGACTTTCTATCCACTGGCCTATGATCTTCCTACATTAGGCATTATTGCATGACTGTGTGAGTCTAAAGAGGAATGTATGAGCTAGTATTGGACATATGGGCTAATATTGGACTTATGGACTTAATCTGGACTGGGCTGGGATGTTTCTCAATCTACAATTGCACTTTTATATAAAGCTCTTTCTTACACACATATGAGTGTCTATGAATTTGTTTCTCTAGTCAACTGGACTAACACAAGTTTTATATCAAGAACTAATTATACATCAGGAAAACAAGTCCATAAGTCCCTCTTCAGACTTTCATAGCCCCATGCAATGATGCAAAATGCATGAAGATCACAGACTGGTGAGTACAACGTCTTGTGAATCCATCTTCAGGGCTCAACCAGGAGGGTCAACCAGGAGGAAGATAAAGGCAGAGAGAGAAGGGGCGGTTCCCAGGGTCCTCCTTATCAGAAGGTCAAGCCCACAAGGAGTCACCATCAGGTTGTGGCCTGATTGATAGGCTAGACTCTACCCCTATACTTGTATATATCTTCAAGTTAACATACAATGGTAGTTTAAACACAACTGGATCATCTTATTATATAATATCACAGTCACCTGTTGGCAACTGGGTTGGATTATAATTTACCTAGGTGCATTATTATAAAAATGAACCCATTTACGTTCCCTTTTATTATTGAGGCTTCTGGTTTATAATATTGCCTTTTACAAAAGATCTGTTGTATAGAGTATAAATATTTAATTGAATTTACACCAACTCTTTGCTGGTGTTTAGGTTTCATTTATATTTTACTGTATTATGTAACACCAGAATCGTCTGTCAATTCATGTCATTCTGTTTACTCACTCACACACGCACAGCAAAATAGTTTTTTTAGTTTTAGTTATGTAGATACCAAATATTCAGTCAATCCACATTTTATTATTATTATTACTTGGTTTAGAATGGTATATGGGTCCTCCTCTGATCTCAATAATCAATAAAGGGTCTTTTGGTTTTATTTTTGTTTTATCTACCCTTTCACTTTGCAATTGTCTACTTCTTTCCATTTCAGTTCAAACTGAAGAGATGTTTAGGGTTGTCAGCCTTCAATACTTAAGCAGTCAAGAACGAGCTCTCTCATTTTCTCCGCCATCCTGAGTGTGGTGCTTCTCCGACTTCACCATGTCGTCTCATAAGACTTCCAGGATCAAGAGATTCCTGGCCAAGAAACAGAAGCAGAACCGGCCCATCCCCCAATGGATTCAAATGAAAACTGGTAGTAAGATCAGGTACAACTCCAAGAGAATGTAGGGTAAAGGCAGTGGGGGGCCCCCACAAATCATCACAGGTCCAGTAGGCGCAATTGTACAGCGATAATAAGTAAAGATTATAGTAAAGTCACAGAGAGCATGAGAGGTAAGAGATAGAGTCAAGTAATGAGTCAGACACAACTCATAGTAGCATTGCTCACCTCAACCTCGCTTGGTGGTCCTCGTGGGGGGAACCCAGCTGCGAGAGCAGGACCAGCCTCAGAACCGGAGAACTGGGGAGCCTTTTGGGCCCCTGGGAGCCGGGGCGAGACTCCAGGGTGAGAGCCCTTCTTTATTGCTAACCAATCATTATATCACTTTCGGGGGCCATCATTACAGAATCACACGTCACAGAAAGGGGCAGTACAATAGGCATACACATTGTAGGAAGGGGATCTATGATAGGCATAAGTGTAACAGGAAGAGGATGAGCTAGGGGTGTGCTCATAGGAATGGGAAGGTCTAGGGTTATACATGTGACAAGATGGGCAGACCCTAGATTCATGATGGCAGCCTAACCTTGGTCATCCTTGGGCGAGTTTGACCTCTCTGGTGTCTCCTACAAGGAAACAGACTATCGTTATCAGAAGGGAGTGGGCCCTACTTGTTGTGGGATAAACAGTGGTGTCTGCTTGGTCTAGATGGCTACTTCTGATGACCTCCAAGTGTACAGTCATTCACAAGCAGCTAAGTCTGGCATATATTTGAGGGAGATGACCTAAGAGAAATCCTTCTGTTTCCCACAAGAGAAGACATTGAAGAACCGAGCTGGGTCTGTCAGGCGCCCCCTGAGGGATGGCACTCATGGCCCCATTTGCCCAGGCTCACTAGTGGCCTGTCATGCTCAGTTGGATTAAGACTTTTGCCACCATCTAATCAATTGAACTTGTATTGGCAAATCATCTGGTTTCTTCCTTGGTTTTTATGAGAGTTTAGTAATAAGTGATGTAAGGTCTTTGGTTTGTAAAAAAGAAAGGAAGGTTTGGTGACTTATACCTGAAACAGGCTCCAGTCTATGACTACACTGTCCAGTATAATAGTCACTAGCCACGTGGTGGGTTCCAAGGAGCAGTCCAGTATTCAACCATTTGCACCATTCTGGAATGTTTCATTCCTCCCTAAAACTTACTTTTTCTAATAAGCCACTCAGACATCTGTCCTGTCCCAAACCTATCAAGAGATACAAGTAAATCTACTAATTTAGGCTCCTTTTTATATTTAAAAGGTAGGTCTGCTGGTGTTGTCAGGTAAATACTGACCTGTTGTGTCAGTCTGGGTAGACTAGAGAAACAAATTGATGGACACTCATATGTGTATAAGGAAGAGCTTTATATGCAGAGTAATTGTACATTAAGAACACATCCCAGCCCAGTCCAGATCAAGTCCATAAGTCTGATATTAGCCCATATGTCTGATACTAATCTATAAAGTCCTCTTCAGGCTCATGAAACACATGCAATGATGCTGAATGTAGGATGATCACAGGCGAGTGGATGGGAAGTCTTGTGGATCCAGTGGCTTTGTAAGCATCCCAGTGCTGGCAGGAGTCTCCACATGGCTTCTCCAACTCAGGGCACTAGCATAATTCCATGTGCCTTGTCAGCTGCAATGTCTCCCAGGGAGTGAACTGAGAGAGAGTGTCTCCTGCCTCCAAGGAGGAAATTCAGGTGTCCCAGAATCCGGAGAAGGCTATGTCCACACAGAGGCCTCATTGGCTATGACCCAATTGACAGACCAGACTCCACCCCTTCCCTCTTAATCCTCTCAAGTCCTAAATTGACACCTGTTTATGTAACTACCACACCTGTTAACTTCAAAGTTGGTTGTTCAAAACCATCAGCTGTTCCAGGGGAAAACAATGAGGCCTCCTGGCTCTGTAAAGATTCACAAACTCAGAAGCCCACAGGGACAGTTCTACCCTATCTTATGAGTTTACATGAACTCAATGGTAGTTTACCTTTGGATTGATCAGAAACTAAATGGCAATGGGTTTTTATGTTTAAAGGAGTCCCAGTAGCCTTGTGGGGCCTTGGTGGCGAAACAGATTATGCAGTGGTCTGCTAACAGGAAAGTCAGCAAGTCGGACTCATCAGCCACTCAAGAGAGAAAAATGAGACTTTTGTTCCTATAAAGATGTACAGCTTAAAAAAAAGATTCATAGCTTTATAAACTACAGAAACCCACAGGGACAATTCTACTCTGTCCAATCAGGTCATTGTGGGCAGAATCTATTTGATGGCAGTAGTTGTTGGTTTGGTTTGATTCGGTGCAACATTGTGGGTTAGGTATTGGACTGCTAACTGCCAAGTTGATAGTTGAAATTCATCAAGCACGCCATTAAAGAAAGATGAGGCAATCTGCTTCTGTAACACTTAAAGCCTAAAAAACTCTATATAGAATCACTATAAGGCAAAACCACCACTTGCCTGTCAGTTTGTCATTCTGTGGTGGCCTGTGTGTTGTTGTGTGCTGGAAGCTCTTCACTGGTATTTTAAACGGCAGCAGGGTCACCCAAAGTGGACAGGTTGCAGCAGAGCTTCCAGACTAAGAACAGACTACAAAGAAGGCATACACTGTCCACTTTGGAGGAATTAGTCACATGAAACCTTATGGACAGAATCAAAACATTGACAGATGCTGAAAACCTGAATAAAAGAAGCAGAACGCTGTCAGAACAAGTGCCAGAAGATGAGTCTTTCAGGTCAGAAAGTACTAAAAATATGATTGAGGAAGAACTGCCCTCTGAAAGTAGAGTCAACCATGGTCACGTGTACAGAACAGAGCCTGTGGAAGTAAAGCCTTTGGGACCTTCATCTGCTGATGAGACACGACACAGATAGAGAAGAAACAGGTGCAAACATCAGTTAATAATTGGACCTTGGAATGTAAGAAGTATGAATCTAGGAAAATTGGAAGTCGTCAAAATGAAATAGAACAAATAAAAATTGACATTCTAGACCAGTGGTTCTCAACCTTCCTAATGCTGCAACCTTTTAATACAGTTCCTCACGTTGTGGTGACCCCCAACCATAAAGTTATTTTTCTTGCTATTTCATAGCTGTCATTTTGCTACTGTTATGAATCAGTGACCCCTCTCAAAGGGTCATAAGACCCCCAAAGGAGTTGTGACTAACAGATTGAGAACTGCTGTTCTAGGCCTTAGTGAGCTGAAATACACCAGCAATGGTCATTTTTAATGAGAAAATCATACTGTTTACTATGCTGGGAATGAAACAATCAAGTGGAAAGTTGTTGCATTCATTATCACAAAGGATATTTCAAGGTCCACTTTGAAGTACAATGCTGTTTGTGATAGGATTATGTCTATCCACATTCAAGGAAATCCTATCAATATAATTTGTATTCAAATTTATACACCAACTATAAAAATTAGTGATGTAGAAATTGAAGAATTCTACCTACATCTTCAGTCATAAATTGATCAGACATACAATCAAGATGATTTGACAATCATTGGAATGCAAAACTTGGAAACAAAAGAGGAAGAAATAGTCGGAAATTATGGTCTTGGTATTAGAAATGAAGCTGGAGATGACATGATAGAATTCTTCAAGACCAATAACTTCTTCATTGCAAATACTTTTTTCAACAACAACCTGGACTCCTCCAGGTAAAATACACAGAAATCAAATTGACCACAGGTGTGGGAAGAGATGATGGAGAAGTTCAATATCAGCATCTACAATCAGGCCCGGTTCTGACTGTGGAGCAAACCATCAATTGCTCATAGGTAAATTCAGGTTGAAGCTGAAGGAAAGGAAAACATGCTCATGAGAGCCAAAGTATGACCCTGAGTCTATCTCACATGGATGCTGAGAACACCTCAAGAACAGATTTGCCGCATCGAACACTAACAACGGAACACCTGAAGAGCTGTGGGAGGACACCAAGACCCTCGTACATGAAGAAAGCAAAAGGTTCTTAAAAAGACAGAAAAGAAAGAACAGATTAAAGTGGATGTCAGAAGAGACTCTGAAACTTGCTCTTAATAAGAGAGTAACTAAAGTAAATAGAAGAAATGAGGAAGTAAAACAGCTGAACAGAAAATGTCAAAGGGCAGCTTAAGAAGACAAAGACAAATAGAATGAAATATACCAAGACCTAGAGCTAGAAAACCAAAGAGGAAGAACAAGGTCAGCATATCTTAATCAGAAAAATTTCAACAACAACAAAAAATTCAAACTTCAAGTTGCAATATCGACTGATTCTATGGGCAAGTTATTCAATTATGAAAGAAGCATCGAAATACAAAAAAAAGAATACACAGTCATTATACCAGAAAGAATACACAGAATTACTATATGAAAAAGACTAGTCAACATTCACCTAATTCAAGAGATAGCATGTGAGCAAGAACCAATGGTACTGGAGTAAGAAGTTCAAACTGAATTGAAAGCATTAGCCAACAAACAAGGCTCCTGGAACTGTGAAAATACCAACTGAAATGTTTCAACAAACTGAAGAAGCACTGGAAATACTTACCCATCTATGCCAAGTAATTTGGAACACAGCTAGTTGGCTAACTGACTGCAAGAGCTCCATCTTTGTACCCATTCCAAAGAAAAGTGGCTCAGCAGAAGGCTCAAATTATAGAACAATCTCATTAATATCATGGGCAAATAAGATTTTGCTGAAGATGATCCAACAAGGGTTGCCACAGTCCATTGACAGGGAGTTGGCAGAGGTTCAGGCTGCATCCAGAAGAGGACGTGGAACAAGGGATATCATTGCTGATGTCAGATGAGTCTTCACTGAGAGACAGATTTGAAGATTTGAAACAACTGTAATAAACAATCCCTTTTCATCCATAGATTAAAATGTAATTGCTGCAGGGTGTGGTGCCCCAACAGACTGGACTGGAGAACACTCCTAAAGGCCAACAAACAATCCTTAAACTAACTACAAGCTTTTCTTTCTTGTTGTGTTTTGTTTTGTTGTCATTGCTTTATTCTTGTTGTTGTTTTGTTGTATATTTTTGTT